GTTTTCTTGTGTAACTAATGCTGAAACCAAATATAAAACATTTGTATCTCCCCAGAAAGTTCCTTCAGGCTCCTTTACAGTCGACCCCCACCTCACCACCATAGCAGAGACAACCAATTTTCTGATTTCTATTCCCATAGCTTAGTTTTGCCTGTTCTGGAGCTTCATATAAATGGAACCGTATAGTATGTATTCTTTTGTATCCATCATTCAATATAATGTCTTGATGTTCCTCAGTGTTGTTGATAGTTTGTTAATTTTTATCGCTGAGTAATAGTATAAAATGAATAAGCCATAATTTGTTTATCTATTCTCCCACTGAGGGACATTTGAGTTGTTTCCAGGCTTTCAGCTATTGTGAATAAGCCATGGTGAATATCCTTGTACAAGTCTTTTATTTTTCTTAGGGTAAATATCTAGAGAGGACTTGCTGGGTAACTGGGTAAGTACATGTCTAACTTTATAAGAAATTGCCAGTTTTTTGGAGAGGTAGCACTGTTTTACATTCCCTCAAGCAACGTACGGGAATTTCAGTTGTTTTGCATCCTGACCAACATTTGTTTCATCTCTTTCCTAATTATATTCAGACTAGTAGGTATGAAATGATGTCTCACTGCAGTTTAAATTCACACTTACCTGGTGGCTAATGATGTTGAACACTTTTTCATGTGCACATTGACTATTGCATATCTTCTTTTTGAAGAATCTGTTTAAATCCCTTACATATTTTTCTAAATTTGGTTGTTTGCCTTTTATTATTAACTTCTAAGGGTTGTTTATATATTATAAAAACAAGTTTTTTGTTAGATATACTTATTGCAAATGTTTTTTGTGCAGTCTAGGTTATGTCTTTTCATTCTTAATGATTTTTTTGGTGAGCAGAAAATTTTAATATTGATTGTTTAATTTATCCTTTTAAAAAATATTTTATGGTTAGTGCTTTCCGTGTCCTAGCTCATAACTATAGTTTCACAGTAAGTCTTGAGATCAGGTAGTACGTCTGACCTTACAGAAATAAAAAAGGAATATAAGGAAATACTATGCGCAACAGTATGCCAACAAATTAAATAACCTAGATGACATAGACAAAGTCCTAGAAAGACACAAATTACCAAAACTTAATGAAGAATAAACAGAAAATTTGAAAAAACCTACAGCAAATAAAGAGATTGGATTAATAATTTTAAAACTTCCCACAAAGAAAAACCCAGGTCCAAACATTTAAAGAAGAATTGATATCAGTCTTCCACAAACTCTTTCAAAACATAGAAGAGTGAACACTTCCCAACTTATTCTATGGAACCAGTATCATTCAATAATGAGGCAAAGACATTAGAAGAAAATTATAGACCAATATTGCTTAGAAATATAGATGTAAAAATCCTCAACAAAATGCTAGTAAACTGAATCCAGAAACATGTTAAAAGGATTATGCATCATGACCAGGTGAGATTTATCCCAGGAATGTGAGGTTGGTTTAACATACCAAAAATCAATTAAGGTAACACATCATATTAATAGAATAAATTTTAAAAACCACACAATCATCTCAACAGATACAGAAAAACCATTTGACAAAGTTTAACAAGTTTTATGACAAAAATACTCAACAAAGTAGTAATAGAAGGAAACTTTCCCTACCTGATAAAAGTCATCTGTGAAAAACCCACAGTAATATCACCTGTAATGATGAAAGATTCAACGCTTTATTCCTTAGATTAGGAACAAGAAAAAGAATCTACTGTTTTCATGTCTATTCAGCACTGTGTTGGAGGTTCTAGACAGGGCAAGTAGACAGGAAAATAATAAAATGCATGCAAATTGGAGAGGAAGAAGTAAATCTATCTCTATTTGCAGCTTACATGGTCTTTTATATAGAAAATCTTAAGGAATCCACTAAAAATGTGTCAGAAATAATAAACAAGTTCAGCAAGATTGCAGGATACAAGATCAATATACAAAAACAATTGTGTTTTTATACACTAATAATGAACAATCCAAAAATGAAATAAGAAAAGAATGTCATTTGCAATAGCATCAAAAACATCCCATGTTCATGGATCAGAAGACAATATTATTAAGATGGTGAAACTTCTCAAATTGACCTATGGATTCAATACAATCTCTATCAAAATCCCAGCAACCAATTTTTTCAGAAATTGACAAGCTGATTCTAAAATTTGTATGGACCCAGTATAGCTAAAACAATTTTAAGAAAGAAGAACACAGCTGAAGGACTCATATTTCTGGTTTGAAAACTTACTACAAAGCTGGAGTAATCAAGATAGTGTGGTACTGTCATAGACAGACATATAAACCAATGAAATAGAATTGAGAGTACACAAATAAATCCCTAAATTTATGGTCAATTGATTTTTGACAAAGACACTAAGACAATTCAGTAAGTGAAAGAACAGTCTTCCCAATAAGTGGTGATAGGACAAATGGATATCCATATTAAAAATTATGAAGTTTTTTCAGTTAATTTCCATGAAGCATTTAACTGAAAATGGAGCATAGACCTAAATCTAAGAGCTAAAATAATAAACTCTTAGAAGAGAATAGGAGTAAATATTTGTGACTGTGGGTTAGGCAATGGTTTCTTACATACAAAATCAAAAGCACGGGTGACAAAAGAAAAAAAANTTACTACAAAGCTGGAGTAATCAAGATAGTGTGGTACTGTCATAGACAGACATATAAACCAATGAAATAGAATTGAGAGTACACAAATAAATCCCTAAATTTATGGTCAATTGATTTTTGACAAAGACACTAAGACAATTCAATAAGTGAAAGAACAGTCTTCCCAATAAGTGGTGATAGGACAAATGGATATCCATATTAAAAATTATGAAGTTTTTTCAGTTAATTTCCATGAAGCATTTAACTGAAAATGGAGCATAGACCTAAATCTAAGAGCTAAAATAATAAACTCTTAGAAGAGAATAGGAGTAAATATTTGTGACTGTGGGTTAGGCAATGGTTTCTTACATACAAAATCAAAAGCACGGGTGACAAAAGAAAAAAAATGGATAAATTGGACTTTATCAAAACTAAATTTTTATTTTGTGCTTTAAAGGACACCATCAAGAAAATGAAAAAATCCACAGAATGGGAGAAAGTATTTGCAAATCATATATCTGATAAGGGACTTATATCTAGAACATATAAAGAACTCTTACAATTCAAGAATAAAATGGTAACCCAATTGACAAATGGTAAAGATATGGGTAGACATTTCTCCAAAGAGGATATACAAATGGCCAATAAGCACATAAAAATGCCACAAATCATTATTTGTCAAGAAAGTACAAATCAAAATGATAATCAGATAGCACTTCATACAGATATGGGTAGACATTTCTCCAAAGAGGATATACAAATGGCCAATAAGCACATAAAAATGCTACAAATCATTATTTGTCAAGAAAGTACAAATCAAAATGATAATCAGATAGCACTTCATACCCCCAAATGGTGGCTATAATAAAAAAGATAATAATGAGTGTTGATAAGGATGTAGTGAAAATGGAACCTTTATATGTTGCTGGTGAAAATGCACAATGGTACAGTCGCTTAAACATGAA